AAGAGGGAACCCCTCGCCAATCCAAAACCCTGGATGTGGGGACAGGACAGCCATGTCGCCCCATTTGGGAGTTGGTAGAAAGGCGAAAGAAACCCCACTGCAGGGCTACCCCACAGGTGACAATGGGGAAAAGGGAACGACACTTTAATCCTTGTCCAGTGGGACAAGGACATGCCACCACATGTGGAAGACAATGCCACACTCCTCTCCTTGTCAGTCCTGTCCATCAGGACACAGATGGGAAGGAAGCAGCTGTTCCCATCGCTGCTCCCTGCGGGCAGCGCGGGAGGGTCCAACGCGCTGTGCTGGAGGCAGGAGCCTGCCCAGACCCTGCTTGGGGGGCCAGGGGCTGCTCCCACCCTGCTCCCTGACAGCCCAGACACAAAGCTGGTACACACACACATCCAACCTCCAGCTACAGAGAACTAGCCCCCAAAAGTGGGTGCTTCAGTAATGACAGAATCTGGGGTCTTACCTCGTCATCACCCTTATAGGGGGTGGAGCCCTTGCCCCCTGCGATGCTGATGCCCAGCCCCCCCGTCTGCCGCACGATAGTCAGAGTCAGCTGGAAGCAGAAGGGACACGGGTTACAGGTCAGCACGGACCAGGAGAACGCCCAAAGCATCACGAAGAGCAAGGGATGACAACTTAAAGAACAAGCAGAAGGGTATAAACTCTGTCTGCATGCATCTGCTCACGCATTTGTCTGAGCTGTGGGACCCATGCCCCAAAGGCACCAAAGCCACAATGCATTTAAACAAACCAATCCTTTTTCGCAGCTGGGTCCTGAACCATCTCAAGACCAAGACTCAGTTTGCCTGTAATGAACACATCAGGATGAGATGTCCACCACAAAGCAAACTGCGCAGCAGTGGGACGGGACTGGATGAAGACACAGGGACAGTGTCACACCACAGCCCAGTCCCACCACACGCTCCCTTTGGGTGTAATTCCACACAGCTACAGGGAGATTAAGGGTCACCCCAACATGGCAGCAACAAGAATGGCACCTCTTCTAGAATACCCCGGACAGAGACTTAGCTTTGCTCTACTGACGGAGGTCAGTGCGTGATTCCAGAAGAGCCGTCCGCTCTGTCCAGCTGGCTCTTCCTCCCCTCCCCTGGGCACAGGCAGGCTCAGGGCGGCAGCTGTGCAATCCAGAACCTTCTTCTCTTGCCCATCTCCCACCTCTACGTACCAGAGTATGCCCAGTTCCAGCAGCAAAACTTTTGGTCAAACTCGAACTTATATCAAGTTCCAACCCCCCGCCACAGGCAGGGAAACCTGGGCTGGTGGGAGGGGTCCCTGCCCACGGCAGGGGGCTGGAACTGGAGGGGCTTTAAGGTCCCTTCCCACCAAACCGTTCTACAATGCTATGATTCTCTACTCGGGACACCAGCATAAGCAGTTTGCATTTCCCCAGTCATGAGAAGGCAGACAGGGAGCACGTGGTAGGACATAGGGAAAGGGATGGGATAGACAGGACTCTTGGGGATCTGTCAGGGCCAAGGACCAAGGAGCTGGGGAGGTAAGTGACAGAAATGTACACAGACTCCTGGAGAAAACAAAATTTGCTGTTGTCCAGATGTCACTTCTCTGGAAACAATGTCCAGAGCAGAGAGCGGCTGCTGCAGAGGTGTCTAAGCTTCAACATGGGGTCTGCGTGGCTGGGGTCGGGCCACGGTGTGGGCAGCAAGAGAAGCAGGAGACTGGCTTTCCTCACCCCCCCTTCGAATCCTTCTTCACTTTCTACAACGACAGAAGCAACAGCCTGTGGGGCTTCACATTCTGCTAGGTTTAAAACAAAAGCAAAACCAGCAAACCACCACAGGAAATGCAGAACAAAAATGAGGTTCCCTTGGTGCCCGGCCAACAGCGAAGCAGAAAGCTGCTGGGATCTTCCCAAGCAAATCCCTTACTCCAGACTGACCATAAGTACATCATCTCCAGGGCAAGATTCAGAGACGAAGCAAAATCCAAGTGCCGAAAGACATGGATTATCCAGGTAGGACAGAGAGATCTGCTGGTCTTGAGACGGCATTGCACGTCACTGACAGCACACTTTAAAACCAATTATAGATTAGACTAACGCTTCTTGCATGAAGAAGTCTATTAGCATCTAACTACAAATACTGCTTTTTTTTCTTCCACTCTCATGGGATTTTAGTAATGCTCCAAAGACTTATATCGATATTCTACATAAAAACTTCTAAAGACAATGGAAAAGTAGGTCTCCAGACAAGGACTAGAGAGCATCCTAACAACACGATCCAGGTATTTCCAAGTAAGACAGCTGATGGTTTTGCCCAGTGCCTGGATCAACAGGGCAGGATTGCTGTTTCTGACAATGAATGAAGAATATACGGTGTCACTGGCTACAGAAAGTCACTTTCAGTTGCACGCTAAGTTGATTGTGTAAACTAACTGAAAGATAATCAACAAAACCCATGGAGTTCACTAATCCATAGAAACCAGACTGAAAATATGGGGAAATTTGCCAGAAAAGCCAACTGGACCAAGGGTTAAGAACCTCATGCCTATCAACATACATTGAAAACATAAAACACCAAGGAGGAACCAGACCTAACTAAGCTTAAAGACACTGCTAGAACAGCAGCAAATGGTCTTGAATGGGACATAAAGGTATTTAGGTTGGAAGGAAGATTACAAACTCCCACAACAAATTAGTTCTCCCATTAGAAGTGTGGTAAGAAACTGAACTGGTGAATGTTTGTTTGAAGTCTACAAAAAGAATAATTGAGATTGATATGAACCTGAGAAAGAATGAAACGGATCCAGTATCTATAACAGCCTTTCAGTTTTATATTCAATATTTCACATTACAGCCTGGACACTGCTTTGTGCACTGAACCAGTCAGTTGTTTCTTCCCAGAAGCACATCCATCCTAAGGCCACTTCAGAGGTGCCTTGACTTCCATGATGTCTGGACTGAGATTCTGGAAACACAGCAGACAGCTGCCCTGACAGTGGGACAGCGCAGCTCCCACCCCGCGATTGCCTTCGCCAGCGACTCTCTTGGGTATTTTCCTCTTCCTCCATTTTTTCCCCTAGAACCAGGGATCCACCTGCTGCCCAGCAATGGCTCATCTTGGACGTAACAACCAATCTGTGATGCTCCCCATCTAGAAAGGGATTCTGGCTCCTTCCTTTGCAGAAAGGGCAAACCTTTGTCAAGAAGGCAACACAGCCTGAGCTTTTCCCAGTTCCTCCCAGACAGCCGAGTATCCGTGCCCTCCATAGAAAAGTGCTACTGGGGAAGGAGAAAAGTGGGGAAATTGAAAAAGCTGCCACTTGAGCCTAGAGCTGTCATCTCCCTGAACTCCCACTGGAGACGAGGGGGAAACCCATTTATCATCGATGGCACCAAGCCCAGGAAGTAGTTACACCTCCCTCCCCTCCCCTCTCCTCTGTCCCCTGCAGGTGCTGCTGCCTGTACACCTCCAGGGAACATACTCAAATGTGGACTGGTTCCACCCCAACCTGTTTTTCATACATTTTTGATATAGCTATTTTTTAACAGATGCACTTGATCCTGCAAGATTTTCCAGCTTGCAGCACGTAAATGTACATTATTCTGGAGAAACTGGAAATGCTGCCCGCAGGGACAGGTTCCTGTTCAGCAGCAGCCAGAGATCTCGGAGTGCTGCCCAGCAGACGTGAAGCAGTGCTTGATGCTGTGCCTTGCACGCAGCTGAGGATTTGTGCAGCTTGCTCCTGGCAGCGGCACAGCAGACACAGGCAGGAGGCACTCAGAGGATTCAACTGCCAAAGCGTGGAGCTGCTGTACTTCAGAACTTGCTGAAAGACCGAGTTGTTCTGCCAGACATACCGGAGGGAGTGGGGGTTTAAAGGCTTTATTTCCAGAAGGCAGCAAGTTTCTGCATGCACAGACATCTTTTTATAACATGCCATGCATTGGGAGGCAGAGAAGTGCCTAATCCCCGCATTTACATCACTGGAAGCTTTCAGTGAGGCTGGATTGTCAACGATGACACAGAAAACACAAACATGCATTCAATACTTCTGATCTGCATTTGGTCAGAAGCTTGCTGATGCACACGCATCACGTGAAGGGGATGAATCACATCCCAACAGCAGCTGAAGAATCCAGTTAATACCATCAACAAGGAACAAGCACTTTAAAAGTCAAAAGGACTGGGTAACTCATGCCCAAGAGCCCTAACAACTGACTGAGGCCTCGGCTATGCTTACAGAGCATTTATAAAATCCTGGAATCGTGATGCCCTGGCATGGCATTTACGTTGTGCCATCAGACTAAGAGATGCCTGCAACTATCAGCTCATCATCCTCGCAACAATGTCAGAGAAGTAGCTGAAGAACATGCCTCTTACCAGGCACGCGGAAACAGCACTCATGCCAAACAGATGAATTTCAGGAAAATTAGACCTGTCAAAAAACAAACACGTCCCTATTTCATTCTTTGACAAGACTCTGAACTTGGCTAATAAAGGAGCAGTAAGGATTTAAAATAAGCAGAATTCTGTAAAACATGGAACTCCTTGTCACAAGACATCCTTGATGACATCCTACGAGGCTCGTTTTAGGGGTGTATCACACAAGCTAGGAACTAGCAGAGGTCACGCACTAGTCAGCAGCAAAGAACCAAGAAGCAGGGTTCTGCCGAGAACTGCATCAGGCCTGATCTCATTTCAAATCGCTGACAGTAAAAATGTCAGTAGTTCCATATGAGGGGAGGTAGGAGCCTTCAAAGACGTGAGGGGGAGGGATAGACATCTTTTTATCTTTTCATGCCATTAATTACTTTATGGGAAATTATTATTCCACGTTTGTAACAACAATGGAATTAGGGATACCCAAGGAAATGTCAGCAGTTGGCTTTAAAAAAAATTTAATATAAAGCACAATTAAATCACATAATTTATTACCACTAAATACCGTGCAACAAAAATGTATCAAAGAGTCTGACCAGATCAGACAACGCCAGAGCCAGCAGCTCCGCTGTGCCTAGTACGATGGTATGAACAGCCCAGAAATCCCAAACTCTGGATTGCAGGGACCTGGGAAAACACCAGTGAACGGATCACCAGGTCTTGCCAAGGTCTTGCACCCCCCGTTAGAGGCATCTTTACACTGACATGCCGTTCAGCTGTATGTCCTTGCTCCAGGAACACCTCCGCAGAAGAGGGGGAGCCGAAACACTGCACAGACGTAAGGGACGCGCAGGAGCCCCGGAGCTGGAGGCACTGACTCACAGGTAAGATGAGAAGAGCTAAATCTGTCCGGCCACAGGCAGCAACAACTCGTGAGGGCATGGGGACAGGCTGGAAATACCAGTGACCAAATGGAAGGTGTGAGATTGCTGCATGAGCTGTGGAGAACTAAATAAAAAACAAACAACGGAAAAGGCACATGAAGGAAAGATCCTGCCCTGGCAGAGGAGGAGCCTGCTGGGGACAAGCTGAAGGTTTTCAGTCTCTGACGCCGTTTCTTCCTCCACTCAGAGCAGTTTTTAGTTACCCAGGGAATGGATACTTGCAAGGCAGAGATGGCAGGGTACAGACC